CCCAAACTGTTCTATGATTCTATGATTCTCTGTTGGTATACCCTCAGTATAACTGTTATTTCTTCCATTTGGCCAAAGGAACCATATTTTGTTATCTTATTTAAAACAATATCTTCTTTTGTTCTCTTTTTTTCTCTTTCCTTTTTATTCCTTTTTTTCTTTTTTTTTTTTTTTTTTTGTTGGTAGAAGGATGCACTTAGAAGACAAAAACACTAAAATCTGCTAAACTTATGTAACATATTTCTGCACTACAAACAAAGGTGTTATTGCAGCTTTTCTAAATGTATTTGTGCTGGCTTTGGAGGAGGTACTTCAGGTATTGATAGCAACAGGTAAACACAGAGCTTAATGGGAACTAAGTACTGAAGTATCCATTCAGGTTTTCAACCAAAATTTATAGCCTGCATTGAGGTTTTTTGGTATCAATGCTATCACTACACAAAGTGCCCAGTGCGTAGTTTGGCCATTCCCACATGAGTTGCAGTCAGAACTTGGCTGCAGTAAAGCATGCATAACCGAATACTCATGATGTATTTGGGGGATCCCTGATGCCTATTGTTGAGTGACATAGTTTAGTGATTACTTCAGATTTTGTCAATTAGACTTCACTTTAAAATCTAGGGATTATACTAAGTAGATGTAATTGTGTCCAAGGTACAAAAATTATTAGCAATAAGCTTTTTCAGATGAGAAAATCAAAACTTTCAAAATAAGCATCATTCACTTCTACTAATTTTTATGGTTTCAATGGAAATAAAACTGGCCACAGGATAATGCTTTTGAAAATCCCATTTTAAATTCTAGGCTTTTCTATTCACAAATCCCCAGTCAGAATAATATTTATTCCTGTATTCTATTATTTCTAACCGAATGTTTGAGAAACACCTTTTTTATTTTAGTAATAATAATTTGTTATATAATACCTTTCATCTGCAGAATTCAAAGTCACTTACAAAAGTCATCTAATTTCCATACTAACAACCTCTGCTGACTGATTGGAGCATAGTTAAGAACTCTTTCACCTACTCCTGAAGTAAAGCCCAGCTGCAGCACATGGCAATTGAGAACAAGGAGAGACAAAGAGTGTAGTTGAAACTAGAATAAATTTCCAAGAATCATATGGTGTGATAGTTGGTAACCTTTCCAAAAAATACTGTCACTTAAAAACAGCTGGGCATAGATTCAGTTTAAGCTCTGATCTGACAGACACATGAGTTCCAACAGAACACAACTACTGAAGGCCATGAAGATGGACTGGTTCATCACTGGGTTAGTTAGAAGAACCATCCACTGAATGGTCTTAACTTCTCTCTTCCAGTGTCTGTTGGTGGTGGCTTCATACAACCAAATTACTAGTCTTCTCAGGCTCTTCCCTCACTGTGAAACAGATGCAGCCACAAGCTCGACTAAAACTTTGGAACTATTGGAAAATTTCCCCTCACCACCGAAGTTGGAGCTTTAAGTTGCTCTTTAGTTTGCCAAAGTAGTTATAAGTACGACAAGAGAATGCAAAAGCCAAGACGTGTAGTGTGTTACTATAATGGGAGAAGTGATAATAATGGTGTTTGACATGTATCACAATATTCCAAGGAGGAGGTTCAAAATCTAGAGACAAGAAAGCCAGTTGCTGCATAAATACACAGAAAGCAATGGGCTTGATGTTCTCACAATTCCTGTCATTATCTGAGCAAAACAGCTTCTCAGCTAAAGACATAATTTACATCCCCAGATGGCATTGGTGAAAGTAAGGCTATGTTTCTGTCAACCTAAGCTGTCCAGTTATGGAGGCACACATGCAGCATAGCCACTAAAAGCCGCGATGACGAACCTTTCTAATGTCTTATGCTGGGTTTATTTTTAAAAAACAATGTAGCCCTTTGTTACTGGTGCCAACCCAAATCTCTGTCAGGGTCCCACTCAACACTAGTGTCAGTTGTTGGCTGTTCCTGCCTTAAAAGATGCTGTTGCAATCATATCCCCTGCATTGTTTTTTAGCATACTACCATTCTGAATATAAGCCAATTCTCTAAAAGCACAGGAGACCCTGCTGGCTATTAATACTTGTGTTCAGAATCCACACTGACAGAATCTAGAGTCACCTCCCCATTCTGGATACACATACTACACCACAGCATTTTCCCTGTTTGTATATTGGTGGGAATTGTTACATGATTTTGAAATTTAAGCCAAATACTGAGAAATTCCACAGCAGAGGAATTGCACTCTTTGTCTTTTACTGTTAGAAACCCTATATAAGCAATCTTTCCCCAGTGATGGTCAAGGGCACAGATGCATACATACCTGCAGCCATGGGTCACATCTTCTAGACCATCTGACACATTTTCAAGACTAGAAAAGAAAGGGTGAAGATCATGTTATGCTGCTGTTGTATGGCTCTGGTTCCATGGCTGGCTTGGGGCCAGGCTGTCCCTGAGCATAAATCAAAGCACCAGCACTGGTGGACTAATTTTTGCCAGCTTGCTCACATCTATGAGGTACTGTTCAAATAATGCAGGTTTTCTGGAGGAAGGAAGTGCTTGGCCTGCACCCCTCATCTCACAAAGGAGAAGCCTATTTTGAAAGATCAGGAGAGGGAAGATTAAGAATTAAAAGAATTACTGTAGTATCTTTGTGAAACCTAAGATTTTTCTAACCATTGAGGAAGTCTCAAAAGGAGGGAGTTGCTCTGTTTCATTAGAAGAAGGGATTGCACTCTGGTCTGATTTTACTTGTCTTGATAAGTGCCTGAGTTGACTGGCCTCTGATTTCTGAATCTTTGAGGAGAGATTTGAAGGGAAAAGCATCTGGTAACTGTTACACAGCTGCCAAGGCCAAGTAATTGGGTTACACACTCCATTTATAAGAGTCATCATGCTGAATATTCCACATTAGCCTACAATTAGAAAGTATCTCTCCTGACACACCTTACAGTTGAATTTTTGAGGTGCTTTGATCTCCTTGCTGAGGTCAGAGTGGGCACCATATACAAGAGAATTTACTGATTTCTTGTTCTTGAGAGCAGTGCATTTCACTGTGAAATTTCCTTTGTGACGGTTAGCACCACAGCAAGGGGGAGGGGCAAGTCCTCCACCATTCATCCAAAATACCATTTCAGAAGGACCCCTGTGCTGTTTGATCTTATCTGCTACTGAGTTGCACTGCTTTACTTCTCTTGTGTTTTGATTCTAGGAGTACCGTAGTTCTTGTTCTCCTGGTGTTCTGCATATGCTTCCTAGTGGCTTGTATTATGTACCTACATGTCACACGAGTACAAGTAAGTGATTTAAGATTTTATGACTGTTCTTCCTTTTGATGGCTATGCATTGTTCGTCCTTTGGATTATGAAGCCATCAACACATGCTTCACAGATTCATAGAGTCTGAAATCTATATGCTTTTCAAGTTCACTGCTAAGTAATATATTAGGCATTTCAAAACCGAAGATGGTTCACCTGAGAGTAGTTACAGCAGTGTAGCATTCAGTGCCAGTAATGCTATGCTTTTTTGTCTCTTTTGCTATGTCTTCCCTGAACACCTACCACTAGCTACTGAATCATTCCAGTCTTCTGCTTTCTGACTATGGAGCACGCTAGTTCTCCCTTCCATTCCAACTGGTATCTGGGTGTAAAGTCCTGCTAACTTCCCCTCTATTTTCAAAACTTTTTCTGCCGAAGCAGCAACTATTTTGATGGTAAAGCACAACGTTTTGCACACATAACCCCTGGCCTTTCCAAATCCTTTAGTAATGATTAGTTCTCCTGCATTACATTTTCACAACAGTAATGATGCAGAAGGATGTTTGGTTGTTGTAGAAGAGAACTATGTCTGCCAGATCAGAATAAAGCAGCTACAGACTAATTTTCTGATGAAAGAAATCTCTAGTGGCTTAATCTAAATTTAGTATTTTCAGACAAATACCAGGAGAAAACACCTACACGGTTAATCAGCTTTGGTGATTAGCACACACTAATTTTTATTTAAGAAAAAATGCCCTTTGGCAGAAGGAAAGTAATTGTTTTCATGGAAACATAAATAGTATAGTAGCAGAGTATCTGGTACAGAGCAGATCTTTATTTATAAACTTACACAATTATTTGGAAGTAATTGTGATGATCACTTTTGTTTCATAAAGGCATAGTAGTTTATCATCTGTTGTTCTGTCTACGGACAGTAGAAACACAGATGAAGGTTGTAGGAAATCTCTCCTCTTAATGACATTTCCCTGGGGCTAGTGCAAATTTTGTTCCAGCTGTTTTGGCAGTCAACGGAGTTTGAATTTATTCCAGATTCCTCTAGAGATTCAGTACCTTACGGAATCAAATCCAGCATTAGAAAAATAAAAAAATATAAAACATCAGAATATCACAGTTGGAAATTTTGTGGTGAAAATTTGTCTTATTTAATAAATAAAAGATAATGAATCTGCTATGTATAATGAATATGGAATTGTAAACTGGTCATTCCCCTATTTTAATCAGTCTTCTGGCACTTATTTGCTATTTTACACTGGACAAGTGACTCAAATTCTCCATGCTTTAGCATCAAATGAGTCAATCTCACTCACAAAACCACTATAATAATATTTTATTGTACCAGTTACCTAGCATTTTGAGGATCTCACAGTACGTATTTAAGTAATAAAAATTCCACAAATAAAAGAAAACAAAGAAAATGAAGCCCAAAATGCTATGCTATCATAAAAGAACAGATGCAATCTTAGAATGACCAAAAGTCAGAAGTATAAATCTTTTAAGTGTCAGTCAGAGTTTTAATTCAGACATGTCTCATACCTTACCTTTTAAAGGTTCTGGGTTTTTGGTTTTTTTTTCCTTTTTAACCCAATAGTTAACATGTCAACATTTAGAACATATAGGTACCACACACACAAAAAAAAAAGTCTGTGCACTGTGTCAGGACACATTGTCTTTGAATTTGCATTTTGCTTTGTCACTATTAACCATGCTGTATTATCTTCAAACTATGGGGATTCTCTCTTTAACAAGCAGTAGATAACATTTGGTTGCAAATTGAATTAATGGAATATATATATTTCCTTCAAACAAAATTATTATTTTCTATTTTATTTATATGTATAAAAGCACACACATTCCACGTCATGTGTGCATAGGATTTTGGTCTAGTTTGGTGGACAACTTGATGGGTAAAAAACTGTCTGGATGATTACATTCAAAGCATAGCAGTTAATGGTTGTACTCTGCCTGGAAGCCAGTAATAAGTGGGGTACCACAGGAGTTTATCCTAGGACCTGTTTAACATTTTTATCACCAACTGGAGAGGACATAGAGTATATTCATGGCAAGTTTTCAGATGACTCCAATTTCAGGGGAACAAACAACACACCGGCAGGATGACCATTGAGGGAGATCTGGACAGATTGGCAGAATGGGCCAATCTTATGAAATACAGCACAGATAAATATAAATATAAATATAAAGCCCAGACCCTGAGAAGGAAGAACTCCCTGCAATGACATAAGCTGGGGACTACCAGCTCTGCAGAAATGGCCCTGGGTGTCAAGGCAGGTAGTACTTTTAGGCCCCCTGAGGTCCCTTCCAACCTGAACTCTGTCACGATGATGAATAAATGCAGAAATAGTCTATTTCTTTTTTTCATAGTGTAATTTTGGACACTGCTATATCCTCTCCCTTGAGACACAGCTTTTCAACGTGAGGTTCTTACAATCTAAAGGTTTTGTTCTACAATATGCTCACTGTTTTATTAAAGGTGATATACCTCAGGTATCCCAACATATTTTACTGATGCTGACTAATAGTTAAACTGGTTTCTGGTGTAGCCAATTAACTCAGGTCCATAATACGCTTATATAAATCTAGGATTGATACTACATTCGTTGTTCCCCACCGACATTTACATGGACTTAATCCATACTGAAGCCAGAAAGTATTGGCAGATCACACATTTTTCATTTTTTCTGTAATTGTGGTATTGTCACGTTTCACAGCCTAGATGAAGCTGGTTCACCTATAATGTTTCAAACTTTTAATTCATGGTCACACATAGAGGGGAAGTGTCTCTGCATATGTGAAAGGAAGGGGAGGAGTTTCAATACATGATTTCTATTGTGCCAAGGCCACAGAAGCCCCCCTCTATGGGTACTTTGTTGCCTGCTGTAAGCTATGCTTTTGATGTTGATGATACCCGTGAAGTGAACAGCTTTTCTTCAAGACTGGTGACTTTCATCGAAAAATTAGCTGTTTGCTTGCTCCATTTGATCTTAAGTCAAATCCAGCCTTGTTAAGTCGGAGCGTCCTCCTTTTAAGGGACACAGAGTTGTTCCTCCTTTAAATCTGATGTTTCCTGAGGTTGATTCTTGCCCCTTGAAGTCACTGAAAGCCGTCATGTGGTCTGAAAGATGTATCGTGGATCCAGTAGATAACAGATGCCCTGAACATTCTTAATGCAAGAGGAAAAGAAGGAAAGCAGCTTTCCCTGAAACCAGAGTAGATCAGTATGATTGGAACAAGCATAAGTACTAGAGCCTGACAGACTTATCCTTTCTCTCTTACCTTCTGTTACTGGCTTCATATATGCTCGCAGCAGCAAGCACTTCACACTTCACAGTGATGGAATCAGGATAAAAATGGAGATGAGCAAGAGATTCACAAGACTCCATTCCACCAGACATTTTTGTTCTCTACTGCTCTTTCTGCTCTGACAAATTCAATATTTTTAAGGCATCCTGATAATTAAAACTACCCTGGCATTTAGCGTGATTGTTATAGCAGAGGACACAAATACCACTCCAAAATTCTATGCTACCACAGTACGTTCTCTTGGATTACTATTTGTAGCTGATAATTTGCAAGGCAAAAGATGCTTCGCATATTTTCCCCATGGAAACAAAATTAAATGCCATCCTAATTTATTATTTGCATTATGACTGGACATCCTATTAAGTTTTCAAAGAGTTTTAATTATAGTGAGAAATAATGTACAATAATAATAATTTCACATTTATTACCCCCAAAAATGCAATTACCATTAAAGCACATGTATACAATAATAAATGCGTGCTTGTTTCATAATTTGCAGTGCAGACAAATTTTCCGTGTCCTTTCTTCACTTATTTTTATAGACTACTAAAAAATAACAACCTCACTTCAAAAGATATTTTAAAATCTTTATCTATAAATCTTTTTTTTTCTTCCTTAGTGTTTTCCAGGGTGCCTGACAATACAAATTCGTACCATTTTGTGTATTTTTATTGTGATCTTAATATACTCCGTGGCTCAAGGATGTGTGGTGAGTATTTCAGTCAAGTATTGCTTAATTTAGCATTCTGTTTAAAGAACAACCTGGTATGGATCCATTAAACACATACTATATTCTCATCTGGTGAATTCTTACTCTATTATTCATACTTGCAGAGCATGTTTTTTCAAAAAGCCCTTTGCTATAATTTGAACTTTCACTGCCCTGAGTCAGGGTGTTGAACTAGGAATGGCAAAGCTATTAGCAAATTGCACAGATGATACCTAATCAAGATTATAAAAATCATTAGATTTTTATATCAAACCTTAGTATCACATAGTCTGCTGATGTCATGGGAAAACTATTTTTAAATATTCAACTTGCTTACTAGTTCAATGGCTAATATTTTGTGACAGACAAGGCATAGTGTCAAACAGCATTACTTACTTCTATGTGGCAACTTACAGAACATATTTCTGTGTAATAACGGGGATATTTTTAGTCCAGACAGATCAGAAGAGATAATGCGATCTTAAAATATGGAAGTATTGCCTAAAGAGAAGAGGTGCTTACACTGTGCTACTTACATAATACATTCACATCTAATGTCTAAGAAGCTTCTCTTGTATGAAGTGAACTTGCTCAATACTTCTGAAAATTGAGCTTCTTTTACCGTAGATTAGCAGCTAGTTCTACATGGTGGACTTGAATGTCAAATGGGATTTAAACTTCTGCCTAAGTATTTGGCATTTAGTTGCCTTGTCAAATTCCTAGCGCTCAATTTCAGCATTTTGGCTGCTAATGCTGATGAATTAAACATGTTAGGGTACCCAAAGGAAAGAATCCATACAAAAATAGCACGCTAAACACAACTGGAAATGCTGAGGAGGCAGATGTCTCAAAGCATGCCTTGCTGCGGGATTTAGGCAATGTGTTCTGACCAATAGGAAGATAGTGATTTCATGAGCAATTCACAGTGCTAACTGAGATGCCAAGCCCCTTATTTTCTGTATTCACTCGTCCTTGGACCTACCCTGAGAATATCTACCAAACTGATCCACATGAACTGAATGAGCAGAGTATGTGAATTCCAATGTCCTGAGAAGTGCCAAGAATTTCCTATGTTCAGATATTTCTGGGAATTCCTGAACATCAGCTGTGTGAGTAACACACAGCCCTAATAGCACAGAGATATATATGTGGTTCTTAATATGCATGTAAGCCCAAAATGCATAGACATGTGCAGTGCCTCCAGGCTAGCTAGCATCTCGGCAAGTTCTGTGTATCTGACTTTGGAACTGAGATTAATATTATGACAGCTGGGACTTGTGTGGATCAGCTCCCATAGATCTGACACTTTGACCAAATGAAACAAGCACCATTGTTATCACTTAAAGATGGTGAAAATGAGAAACAGACGTCATAAGACAACATTGAGTATCAGTGGAAGAAGGCAGATTAGAATTCAGAAGTTCTGGCCTCCAACAAGGCAGTGGTCATTCAGTTACAACTTTACCAACAACAGGTCACAAATATAACTTTATCCTTTACTGAAGCAAAAATGGCCTGTAACCATTGATATGCTTAGGAGAAATGTTTAATCAGTAGAAATTACTAGTTCCTGCAAAGTAAAGCCTCTAGAATTCTCAGCTAACAGAGGAGATAGGTGTTGAGGTTTCACTCTTAGTTGTAAAGCAGGTGATGTTTTCCTGGATGGATTGCACATCATTTATGAAGTCCTCATGCATGCCTATGTTTTCAGATGAGTTTAGTATGAACAGCATTTTTAAGGATATTGAACAAAATTACATTAAATGGATTTTTCACTTTACTCTCATCTCATTTCCTAACGTTAGCCATTATGAGTTTAACTCACATTTTATCTGTTATGTCTCATCTTTTTAAATTACTACAACCCCATGTAAAATATATTGCTTAATCACCTTTCAGGTTGTCAGTTATTTTACAGCATGCTATAAAATTTCATTATCAGTGGTTAGGATGAAATAAAAAGGTCTAATAACACACTTCAAAAGAGAAGCTTAAGTACGTGGCCGGGCTTATGTGGCGGTGCCTGTTAAAATCAATTTCATACTACCATTCCACTCTCCCCATTTATGCTAACTCTCATCCTCTCCCTTTGTAAGGAATGAAGGTTGGAGTGCAATTATAACTGGAGCTCTAGGGACTTGCACTATTTGCCAGAAATTCCTCCCTTCCTTGGATAACAGCTCTGAGATGTGTACATGACATTGCCTTTGGAAGAAGCAGGTTAAATTTCCTCAGATTTCCCATAGGAAATGCACTAAAACATTTTTTTTTATTTCCCAGTCTAGCGAGGAAATGGAATTCTTTGGATAACAGAAATGGCAGGAATAATTAAAGCTGAGGCCTTGTATTTGAATCATATGTGATAGCAGAAGTAGCTCTGAGGTGGAGGAAAGAAATATTATTCATGTTTAGCTTTCCAATCAAAGATTAAAATATGTTTTATATTTGTTTAATTGAGAATGATACAATTTACATAGTCTATAAAACAAACACATTTCTTTCTGTGCTCTGTGCAGGGACCTTTCTCACCTGCATGGCCACATAAAATGTTTACTGAGGTTCCTTAATTTATCAGGAATATGTTGGCTTGAGAATCTCTTGGTTTTGAGCACTGAGAGGGAAACTATTCAGCTAAGCCCAGACTTTAATTGGTTGGCCTTACTGGCATCTAATGAACAAAGAGTGTCTCCCACCTAAAACTGAGTAAAGCGTTACAGGAAAAGGAGAGAGATTTTATTAGAGCAGTGAGCTGGATGGGAACTCCATGGCCATATTTTCCCAATTAGAAACCAACTACAGTCAGCCCCCATAGCAGCTGCATTTGTTTATTTCATATTTAACTTTCTCCCCCTCTCCTGTCTTTTCTAGGTTGGCTGTATGCCTTGGGTTTGGAATACCAATTCCAGCAGTTCAATAGTCATCATTTCTCCCAGTGGAACAAATAAAACAATGAACGAACTTCCATGTGACACAGCCCACTATGCTTTCCTTTCCTGTGTAGTGGGGACACTCACCTTGGCAATATTTCTACGTGTATCTTCCTTGCCAAAAATGATTCTCCTGCTTTTTGTTACAATTTTGTACATAGTTATTCTGGAACTCAGTGGTTATAGAAAAGCAGTGGGGTAGGTATCTTGCAAAGTGAAAGCAATGGATACTTCTGTAGAGATAGTCACAACATTGATTACTCATCTGTGAATTGTCATCTAGCATTCAGTGCTGCTACATACTCAGTAGAACATAAGAAGTACTTAAGCCATCCTCTCCCCAGCAATTGTAGGAACTAGTAATATCCATCAACAGGAGATCAGATTTTGGGAACCAGCCCCTGTTGCTCCGTTAGTCTGCAGTTTTATGCTAACGTATCTCAGCTGAACTACACTGCAGTCTAATTATAATATGAAATAGAAAAACACTGCTAAAAACTTCACTTCCATATTTCAGCAGCCCTCACCAATTCCAATTTCATTTAAGCTTTTGAGCTGTTGAGTGTTTTTATATTTCCTAATTAAAACCATGCACACATATTACAATAATGTATAGCATTATAGTATCCTCAAGAAGTTGAATGTTGGTGTGATGCAGTGATCAGATTCACTGTCACCCATCTCCCTGCCTGTATAAGCCTCTTCAGAAAAGCCCAGTGATTAGGGGGGTACCCACATGTTCTAAATGAAGGATCTGATATTAAAAATATGCAGTCTTAAGTATTAGAAAACCTGGAATAACCCATTTACTTTCCTTTTACTTTTAAGGGGTGGCTCCTTTTATATGCGTGGCTATGAACCAATACTAGCCATTTTGCTATTCTCTTGTGCTTTGGCACTGCATTCCAGACAGGTGGACTTGAAGCTGCGTCTGGACTACCTCTGGGCTGTGCAGGTAAGTCATAGGACTTTTCTTTCTAGTATCCATGCACACAAAATTTGCAAGTACTTTCAGAACAAATTAGTTGGACTAAGACACTTGCAAAATTTTTCATGTCTGTTGGTGTTTACAGAAAAAAATTATCAGAACTTTCTTTCCATAGACTTATAAAATTCATTTGCTCTGCAGAAGTGGTTTGGGTGGGTTTTTTTTATTTGTAGTTGTTCCATAACAGTACATCATTAATGAAGTAATATATTTGTATCTAAGGTGCGTTATGAATAGAGAGAATTTCAAACATGGGAAATTCCCTGTTAGCAGTATAAACTTCAGATAAAGAAATTAAATCCATGGGGTTTTTTAATTTTATAATATAAAAAGTGGTGAAAGTAAGTTGATGTTCAGGTAAACTGAAAAGAAGCAAATATCTACTTTATGTGGATACCAAGTGCATGGACTTTTTTTTGAAAATATGTTTCCTAACTATCATAATCATGGCAAAACCTATACAAACTATATTAGCCATAAGCAGGGGCATCAGGAAATGTCAACTTCCTGTCATGCCTCTTAACAGTCCTATTCCCACCTCCAAAGTGTTTCACACTAGCCCCTGAGGGAAGGAGAAAGTTGAAGAAGATGTAAGTTTATTTTGGTGGAATTTGGAAGTTGCCTTTATGATAAATCTTACACTCTTACGCTCCTGTAGTTCACGGAGGTCACGTCCTGTTCTTATCTACACCCTGTTAAATGTGTTGTTAAGAGAACTGTATAAATCGTCACAGTGCTTGTTTTTACATGTAAAGATCAAGACTGGAACACATGGGTTAAACACATCCCAGGCTCTACTGTATTACCTAGAATGAGGAAATCAGGAATGACCTAGCTGTATTATCTTCCACTATTACAGATTTTCTACCTAACAGTTAAGATCTGCTGGGATTTTTTTGTTTTTCTTGATGTCCAAGACCATGTCCACCTCCTTTATGATTTAAATTTATCTTGTTCTATAATTTCTGTGGACTCCGTGCTGTTTAACTGTGTCAACAACACATGATCACTTAATTTAATTTTTGTCCTATGACCTGTAGTATTGATAGGTGCTGTGCCTGTCAGCCTCAGAAGTTTGTTTTGGACAAACTGATAATAGTTTCTGCTTGCTTTGGTGCCAAATATAGTTTTCAGGTGGCAAAAAAAAAACCCCTGACTTTGAAACTCAGAGCAGCACATGACTAGCTGTATAGCAGATATCCTTATACAGGATGGCACATGGTGAAGATATGTGAGTGCCACATGGTCCATGAATACGAGACATTCTGTATGTTATTCCTAGCCATGAAATAGAGTAGCAAGCAGGAAGAGACCGTTTTGCTATCCTTTGGCCTTTCAACAGGTCAGGAGTGGGTTCCAGCATCTTAAATACTTTTCATCATTCCAGCTGCTCTGAATTGCATGGTGAATTGTGCATCCATAAGGAACATACTGCTTAGTTTTAAGTTGGCTTTTAAATTAGCAATCGATTAGTTTTAAAAATTCAAGTACAGGAAACTAATGGGATGGTTGCCTGCTGAAAGACCAGAACTGGACAATAGTAAAGGAAGAAATACAACCTTTTTCTGTTTTCTTGAGGCCAGGTTTTACAGAAATACCTAGTCATCTACCACTATTTTTAAAACCACTGTGCACTTATTCTGAAGGACAATAAGAGGAGTTAAGCTGTATGTATGCCTATCAAATTTAAGTAATGTCCAGCATCTTCAGGTACCATTTCAAAAAGGGCTTTTCATCTGAGAAGATCAAATGCCATTTTCAGATCTTCTCAATTGCAAATCAGGTACTTATGTGGTACCATCTTCTCTGTGAGATTTCCATGATAATAATCAGAAAGGAAAAAAAATCAGTGTAGGTAGGAAATTCAGAAATTAGGGATCAACATAACTACCATTCTTTGAAATCAGTATGCTGGGTAGATGCTTGGCCTCTTTGACGGTCTGGGCATATACTCTTGTTCTTCTTGATTCCACATGGAAGATCTGTTCCCTGTACAATAAATAATAGTGGATAACATGTTGTAAGGAATGTTGTCCTAGTTTCCACTCTGTGTATTGGTTGTAAATGATACTGAATACAAGAGCTAATTAACATAACATGCAGAAGTACTGCCGTGATGGATGTTACAGAAGTGCTTACCTATTCAAACGGATAAGTAAAAATAGCATTGTTTTTGTACTTCTTAGGCTCTTTGGCATACTAAAAATCTGAGTATTAAAAGCTTTGGGAAGACTGTTGGTTGGAAATATCTAAATGTTAAAACTGCCTTTGAATAGTTAGCAAACTCCATGCTACTAATTAACAATCTCAAAGAGGAGACAAAGGTAAAAACCACCTTCCTGAGTGGCAGCTGCTGGACTGCAGGAGCCCTGTATATGGTTAAACAGCATTCTTGGTCATGTTTCTCTACAGCCACAGTACTACTTACCATTGAACCATTTGGCTTAAATCGGTTACATTCATGGCAGCAGAAGTTTTAGAAAGACCATTGACTTAGCGCACAGGGACTGTGGAGATTTTCTTCTGTTTTTAAGAGTGACTGTGCTAGTTCTTTGTGCAAACACTGAATTGCATGTAGCACTGCTAGAGCTGGAGGCTCACGTCTCCCAGTAGCCAGCCACTGCTATGTGAAAGGTGTGCCAACACGATACAACATGTATTTTTAGGAAGCTTTGCAGTTAGCTTACAACTGGGATAATTTCAGACTCAAGGGCTATTCTGGAAGCTGTAAGCACTTTGCTTGTGTACTGTTAGTAAGGCTTATTGTGGGGCTGATCCTGTAAAAATGTTCCTAGATGAATAAAAACATTTGTGGCATAAGCTGCAATAAGAAGGATTTCATAGATATTTTCATTTACTTCATCATGAACAACAGTCTAGTACTAACTAAATGATATTTTGAACACTTAAGGTATCTTGCAATTAATACCATTATTAATAAGAATATATAGATAGATACTCAGTGATCTATGCCAAGGTCTGACAGAAACCCATTTCCATAGATTTCGTCTGCCACATCAGGAAGTAAATGTGTTTTGAGGAAAAGCAGATTTCAAACAAGAAAAACTGATTTAGAAAAATGATACAGTTTCAAGAAAAGTTTATCTAATTTGCATGCATCTAGGCTATGTAACCTGAACAGAGATAATACAATATGGTTTGTGTACATTCTGTGGAAAAAATATTTTTTTCTGATTGATGATAAGTTGTTAAAACATTTATATTTCTACTTACTATTCACACATGAATGGTGTTCTAGGTTCTTGTTGATTTTGTTTTTCTGTGCCAAATTTAACCTTTCTGAATATCACAGTATTTCCAGAAAAAAAAAAAAAAAAAAAAAATCAGGTTTTTCTTTTGGGGGGGGAGATTCTTAACAGGCTGTGGGAGGAAAATTTTGTTTCCTACATAACATTGTTGAGAAACACTGTGTGCCTCGTATGACAATAACTGTCAATAGCAAGTATAGGAGCATTTTACTTATTTATGACTGATAATCACTTTTGCTTATGCAAATTATTCAACAAAACTGGGAAAAAAATGAACAAATAAATACAAGCAATATATTTATGAAGAAGCTAAAACTGCCAAAAAAAAGAGTTGCTCACTCACCCAGGATTTGTCAGAGCAGGAAAATAAGAATAATACAATGATATGACTGATTGTTGTATTCTTTAGGGAATACTAGAATATCATTCAACTATCTTTTCTAATTTGTGAGATCTTGTAAGAAATAGGTATTTTACAGTCGGCAGGCAGGACTTGTCAGGTGTGCTTGCCCTTTCTTTTATAAATCTGGCCCTATAGAAGCAGTGTGATGGGTTTTTTTTCCCTGTGATTTTAGTGCCACCTTCAGGTACAAAAATGATGTTTCTGCGGCACTAGCGCCTGGCTTCTTATTAGCTGTATCTTGAAACAGTGAATTTTCATGTGATTACTCTTCAGTCAGCGACATGGCTACAGCATTTTTGTGCTTACTAAACAGTCTCCTGATAGCTCAGGTGATACAGCAGCTCTGACCACTTCATGAACAGAGCATGTGTAACCAGTTACCAGCATTGTAAAAACTGTGGGATGCTGTGTAACTTTGTAAAATGCAATAGCTGTTAATTACATTGATGTCAAAAGCCATAGTACCAAAGAACATTTTAAATTTTGCCACCAGGTCTGAAATAAAAACAAAGCCCGCTTTTAAATACTGCTGCTCTGCAAATACAGTTAAGTTCTGCAAAATGACCTAGCTGCCATGAATACCAAACAGGTATAAGCAAAAAGCAGAAGGTGAAAAATTATGCTGCTCGTGCCTATGTATTTTCTTTCTTGTTATTTTCACAATAATCTGCTTGTTTTCTGAGCCAGCAGCTATTGCATAAATATCATGCTGGCAGCTTTCCTTAATTAACCAATAGGAATAGGGGCAAATAGATGAAGGTTTGGATGCTATTTAGCTGTCTGGATAATATTTCTACCAGGAATGTAAATACCTGTGATCCGTGCTATTTTAATCTTACTTCTCCAGCCCCAAGTACTCCTTCTCCCTTCTCCCTTTTCAGTTTTGCCTGGGAAAGGGTGATGCCTACACATCCTTTTATCTCAGCTGCTCAAAGAGTAGGCACTAGGATTTCATGAGTCACAAGGAGGAAAGACAGTTTTCATTGCATTCCCCTGAAGGGCAGAAAGCAGGAAGCTGAAAAAAGATCCAGAAATTACCTATAATCAATTTACTTCCCTCCCCATATAGCCGTGTGGTGGAATAGTTCTAGTGTCCTCACTGCTGAACATGACCAAGTCTTTTTTTACCTGACATTCACTCCTTATCTGGCTTTGACACAAGATCTTTCCTCTTTCCCCAGGCAGCTCCTGAGAAGTTGCATGTATGAGAGCTGTCTTAGGCAGCACAGGGCAAGAGGATGGATACTCAAACTCTATGCAGTAGTAGCACAGAAGGTACACTTCAGTTCATACTTCTAGCAGATCACTTTATTAAAGGCAGGATATTAGATATTTGGTATGTCTAGATGCTGTAAGTGCAGTCGATGCAGAGACTCTGTCAAGGGTACCAGCAACAATATGGCAGTATTAACCCAGTGTGTGGTCTAAGCTACTATACATGACTAAGTAGCTGAGAAGGAGTGCTATGCTAATTCCATGAACATTCTGCTTCTAGGTCTGGGGCTAGGTCAGGCAGAGCTAACACAGCTTATTCTTCATGTCACTGCATTACCCCACACAGGCATTGCCTGCAAATGTCTCCCTGAACCATAAGGAGACAGTGCACTCCTCTCTCCCTGTTGTCTAGGAAGTGCCTTACCTGAAATAGGCCAGGGCACAAAAAGCTAAGAGCACTTGACCTACATTTCCCTTGATCGGCTGTTTGCATAATTTGCCTCTATTTAGGCTTTGCTGCCATTACCATGGTAATATTTGAGGGCCTTCCATGACCTTAGTGTCTTTCATCTTATTTCTGGCAACTGAACCTCTCAGAGTCAAAACTGTAGTTAACAGTTTTGCATTTGAACAGGGGAAGAGACACTTGCTAGGTGTGTTGGAAATGTAGCATTCTACTGTGTTTCTCAGCAATGGTGACATCTTTAATGTGTTTCCCTGCTCTTAGAGGATTTTGCCACCCCTCCAGTCATGGCTTTGGTGGTTTGATTTGAGCCATTAGCTCTTCACTCAAGAGCTGAGTTCTCAGCTTATTAGTCATGGCTGTGGTCCCATCGTTGTGAACATTGTCACACCCATACCTGCACACACAGAGTAGTGTCACTGGCATTTCTCTCCCAGTAGTTTCATGACTGTATTGAAGCGAGACAGAAAGGAGAAGAAAAGCTATCGCATGCCTTAAAGTTCCATCAGAAGGAAACAACAAGAAAACAAACAGTTCTTTCTCATTTATTTTATGTTGGTATATTAGAATTGTCTTTTATTTCTGTGTGTCAAAGGCTGGATGGAAGTCCAACAACATGACCAAGGTCACAAGGGTCTGCTTCAGTGCTGGCAGCTTTGTCCTTGTCCTGTGGCTTGCTCTGAAACCTTTGTTGTGAATCATACACAATGGTAGGAAGCACCAGATATTGCTAAAGAACCTTCTCAATAATGCCATCCAAAATGAACGTTTTGGTCCATGACTAGGCAAGGCAGAGGAATCTGATCACACATTTCCAGATCAGAAATTAACAGCAGCTGCCAGTGATTGAGCAACATCGCTATCCATGCAATGCATTAGATGATTGATTACTCCACTTACCTACCACTGCTTGATTACTTTGACTTGTCCAGAAATGTCTATGCCCTGGCCCAAAGGTGTATTGTTCTTTAGGCTGCTGTTCTGCCCAATATTGTATTGGGAGTTTAACTGAGAACCTTAAACATTCCTAGGAAGAAAGTAACAAAAAAGTTCTAATTCAGAAAATAGAGGAATGGATAAGCAAGCCCAAAATAGACTTTTTATTCAGAGCATGAATTCAGTTTGCAGATATCTTTGCTGTCATCAGACTAAGATTTCCGATATTCCAGTATGATGTAAAAATGGAGTTGTAAGCTTGGTTTGGATTCTCATCTGGAAAAAGCTTTTTATTTTTACTATTAGAACATGTAAATTCCAACAGTTAGACTAAATGCAAGAGGCCATTACACATGTTTATAGACAACAACAAGTCAGAGATAGAGTTATACCACCAAAATAGGGGAAGGATATTTTAAGAAAACAGCATATTAAATTTAAACAGCAAAAAAAGTGTTAGGGAAACATCTCACAAACAGGAAATATATACTTGCTTAGAATAAAAATTTCAGGTGTATTTCTTGCAGAGCTTAACTGCTATTTAATGTTTACTGAGATTTCACAAATTAGAGGAAGAGCTGAGAATTTATTTCAAAAGTGAATGATTCCTGAAGAATTTATGTTTATAACAACAATTCTCTTTCAGCATTCTTTCTACTTATAAAGAAATTTAAGAATACATAAGTAAACTGCAAGCCAAAGCGGACTGTGTGATTTGAATAAATAGGGTGTTTCCTAAGTTTTGTCATGGAAAGCAAAAATTCACTTCCTTAAAAAAACAAATCACATGAAAGGACTATTTTAAGACCATACTGGTTTTCTCCTATTTAGACAGGAATGGACAGTGAGAAAAGTATGTGGACTTTGTAATAGATCAGAATAGCAAATTCTAGATACAAAAGGAACACCAGCAAAGGTTAGAGCAGATTCTTCAGTGGTTTACGTGATTGTAGTTTCTCAACAATGCCTGAGAATTTGGCCACAAGTCACTCTAACAAAAAGGTACAAATTCCAGAGAAGGAATTTTGCAGAAGAGTCTACTAAAGACTAGGCTGGAATTTGCAAACCTAGGAGTTCCAAATGAGGTTTGAGACCTAGATATTCAGTATTTGTATTTTATTTTTTAGAATTGTTTCCTAATGTGTGACTCCCACTAACTCCTGTGAGTGAAGTCACTTGTAATAAGATACTTGTATCTTGGGTTAAGGACTTCAGACGTGTTAACTCCTAGGCACTCTTTCAGAACGCTGTCATTCACATAAATGATAGAATTTCTGTTGCTGTTGTGCACAGAAATTTCTGTGTGCAGGAACTGTCTATGGTTCCATCACAAATACCAGAGTAATTAAAAACACCTCTAGAAAATTTTATATTAAAATATTTTTTGTATTTGTTACCATTCTTAAGGATGTTCAATTTTAAAACCTTTTTGTTTGTTGAAGTTGCTGTCTTATCAGGTCTGTTTCCATTTGACTGCAAAATGAAGTAGGTTTGCTTTAAACACTGACGATTCTCTAAACTTATCTTTTTTGAAAGGTGGATCAAATACTGCTGTCACTGTCTCCACCTACCTGGGAAGTAACTGGCCTCCAAGACCAATGTGATTTAAGTGGCATTGTTCTAGCTTTCTACTTTGCAAAAATGTCAAGGGCCTATTTAAAAGAACACAAAACTACTGAAGACACCAATACACTTAGCTGATCAAGCCCTGAAAGTAGCCATCGGCCCAGAGACTTTAGCTTGAATTACTCAGAACTTAAAAGAGATTTTTCCCCAATGTTAAAGCATGATATAAGAGAACTGTTCCCACTCTACTTTGCAGGCATTATTTTGCTCAGTTAAATTTCAAAGGATGAGTTAATAGAAGCTATTTGATGGCTTCAGCTAATGTTTTGCTTTTTGGAAAGGTTTTACTTTTCCTCTATGCCCACAGGCAGAAGAAGAGAGAGATGATATGGAGAGAGTCAAGCTGGATAATAAAAGAATTCTCTTCAACCTGTTGCCAGCACATGTTGCACAGCACTTTCTTATGTCTAATCCAAGAAATATGGTAAACCAAAATAAAATTTAAATACATGGTGATGTTGTATGGATGTGACCCTGTGTGGCTTGGGTTACCTTTCCACCGTATATTTTCAAGAAAGGCTTGGACTTATAAAATTGCATTCATGTTAAAAAGAATAGTTTTGTAAAAACTTGTGTTCAAGAATTAGATTTGGATTATTTCTTTGGCTGTAGAATCCTCCTTCTCTGAGGAATTTTAATAAAAAGCAGGATAAGGGTATGTTGTGTCATTCAGCATGAATGCAGCCAAGTGTCTGCATGCAAATCACTATTTTTTTTTCCCCAATCAATTTAGAATACCAGGGTTTATCACAGTATTTCATGAGCTAAGTTTGGTTCTGAATGGTGAAGTGTATGAACTGCCAGACACTCCCATATGAACCACTCTAGTTCTGGAAATACGCTGCCGTTACCAAACCCATCCATTTAAAGTTAAACACAGAGAATTGTACACACCCAAGGAAGACACAGTAGCTTTTAACATCAAAGAGCGCATTGATTAAAGTGGTTCAGGAAGCCCTTATCAATACCTGCAGCACTGGAGTAGCTGAAATTGCCATGACGCTGCTCTTGAGAGTTTGGATCAATGTATTTGAACCACAGAAGAGTGGTTTTACTTTCCGTGAGCTCTCCAAATTCTTAAGCAGAAACTTTAATGTACAGAACAGCATTATACTGTTAATGTGAATACAGGACTCTGCAACACAGGGAAAGACATGAAGGAGCGAGGCTGGTTTTGTGCTGCAGGGTAAAATTGTTCCATCTCCTATTTTAGTTATAAAACAAAATTGAGAAAATGCATTTATATTTCTCATACAATAAAAGTTCTACAACTGTTAAGAGTTTCTACAAAAGTTTTACTCACTGCTTTCATGTCTAAACAGAGAAAAACACTAAGTTGTTTTAAATGGATTTAATAGCTTAGGTGTTAATTTTCTTTTGTGTTTTTGAGTGGAGAGATCTTTCAGCATTTTTTAATGAGGCTGGCTTTCTCTCTGCTAAAAATGATGGCTTTTGTCCTAGCTATTGCTTAGCAGTAGAATAGATATCATAATAATGATGCCTGGTTTAGATTAATCTTTTAAAATAAAAATTATATCTGCTCATGAACTGCAGGACCTTTATTACCAGTCATATTCACAAGTGGGAGTGATGTTTGCTTCCATCCCAAATTTCAATGATTTCTACATCGAATTGGACGGCAATAATATGGGAGTGGAATGTTTACGCCTACTAAATGAAATTATTGCTGATTTCGATGAGGTAAGGTCTAAACAATTTGTCTTTTGACCATATCAGTTCTACCAAATTACTATCAACAGAGATTATCTGTAGCAGTGTATTTTGAAGTGCCTAATAAAACAGTACTCTGTAAACTTTCTATTTAATTATAGTTGGTGTTCACTGAGCTTCTCCAAAGTGCCCAGTTTGTCTTTTCAGGCACATGAGTCTGACCTCAAATACCTCTAATACAGGAAGAGTATTAAAATGCAAGTTAATGGTAATTTTTTCAATGACCTCAAAGCGGGCAAGCCTCAACTTGCCAAAAATAATACGGTTTAATCAACTTGCACATATTATCTGATAATTATGGTTGCTTGTCTAAAATATTATGTAATATTTAACAGTTTTATGTTTTAAACAAAGCTTATGGACAAAGAATATTATAAGGACATAGAAAAGATCAAGACAATTGGAAGTACATATATGGCAGCTGTGGGACTCGTACCTACTTCAGGAACTAAGGTAAGAAGATTTTACGTGATGGTCATTTGTGGAGGAACCATTCTCCTTCAATTTCCAGAAGAACATCAGAAACATAACTCTATGTGATTATAGATAACTTGTATTACTTCTTTACAACAATTATATCTGAAATTCAAAGAACAACTGTAGCCTGAAAAGAAAAATTGCCATCCTAGCAGTTGCTCATGTGCCTTCATATGGGATTTCATTGTCTGCAGCTCTTGATTCTCTGCAAATTGGCGTATAAAGTTCCTAAGTCAGAGTGGTAGTGTTTTAAACCCGGTATCTTAGATGACCTTCTAAGATGCAGGGAAGGAGAGATTCTAGGTGTAAAGAATTGCTGCAAAACTAACACAAGAATATTAATATTTTTTTCTTTTTTATATTGAAATCTGGGTGCAACCTGCAATTAAAATAAACAGCCTCTCCCAACTTCCATCATGGACAGGAACTTAGTGCTAAGTACATTGCTACACTTAACCCTGGTCCCTCCAAATCAGCTCTTCTTTCTCTCTACTGCTAGCATTCTTTTTACCTCTTTAATTACTCAGCAATAAAAAGTCCAAGTCATTTCAGACCCACTAGTTCTGGGGCACGGTTTTTCTTCCGTATCCTTGTTACTACTCCTGAGTGTGTTTCTCACCATAAGTTTGTGTCTTGGGACAGAGATTTCCTAGATTTGCATGCAGCATCTGGAAAAGCAGAGAACCCTGTGGACAATATACTAAATATTTTATATACAGAGTACTATGCACAATAATAATAATAATTATTATAAAATAATTTATGAAAAAATAATAAAAGTATTAATATGCAGAATATAATGAAAATGAAAGCAATCCACATACCTAGTCTGGCCAGAATTTCCAGACACCTCTCCCCTGGTCTGATACGCATGTACATATGTGGTAGAGGTACACTCATGCATATGGTTTAGTATTGCAAAATAACATCAAATTAGAGGGCAAAAGCAAAAAGGGCCAGAAGATGGCCTGTGAACTTTCTAGCAACAATTATCCTTGTTAAGTAAATAAAAAACAAGGCCACATTGAAATCAACTGTTAGAATCATGTTGGAATATATCACATGCAACTAATTTTCTGGTCTGCAGGGTATTTACAACTGATGTTTTCCTTTGTATCATTCCTAGAAATCTACACATTAGAGAATAGTATTTTTAAAACTCTATTTATACTGAAATGTTTGACTCCTGGGTCCCGAGACAGGAAAAAAAAATTGATCCTTTGAATTTTGTTCGGTGTGATCTCAGGCAAAGAGGCAACAGCATACTTGTGTGTCTGCTATAAATGCTCTTTGAACTATAATCCTGAAAACAAGTGTGTTATTGGGTAACTTTGGCAGCATATGTTCCAAAACCTAAACATGTTTATCTCTTGTATTTTATAGTTTCTAACTGAAGGGTCAGCTGAGTTAGCCCAGTACTGAAGATACTGCTCTGAGCTTATGATAGTAATGCATTTTAAATCACTGCAGAAGGTCTGGTACAGCACTCTGCGTTTCTCTGAAATCTTGGGGCAAATTTTGATCTTTTCTGTACAGGTAGAATTTATTTAACACTCCATATTCCAGAAATCCTAAAGATCTTGTATGAAACAGCCAATTTGTTTTTACTTTAACTTGGGGTTTCAGCTCTTCTGTGTTCCCTTCCCACTGCTCGTGTGACACAAATGAGTAGAAATCATACACATCATCTTGGCAGTTTCCCATTAGGTCTTCCGCATGCACCTATGCATTAAAAGTCCAATGATCCTGAGTAGCCCATCAAGCACAGACATTCACTGCCAGCCATCACACAGTCCCTGGGCTGCCCTATGGAATCATATGTGTCCATGGGAGCCATAGGAGACTCAAGTGCTTCTGGTCTCCCCTCTGCTGCGGGTATCCCAACTTCATCAGAAAATCTGGCACAGCCTCTGATTGTGAGCCACGAATTTCATACTAGGATTTGGACATGAGGATGGGGTTTACTGTGCTCTTAACTGGGGATATTTACACACATAAGAACCCAGTACCCTGATGAAGTTAAATATTTAAATCTGATATTTTACAGGACTGTTGTTTCTGCAGCTTGACTGCAGCAGGTGACTATAGTAAATACACATTGCCTCTGTCAGAGCGGTTTTGCTGTGATGGTCTGGACAGTCTTTCCAGTAACTATTCCTCTGATGTTTAAATAAATAATTGCTTGCCAGTTATGCCATCCAGGCAGCACAGAAACCAAACTCTTTGTAGATCTTTTGCACAATATAAGTTCATTGTATGTGTGGAGTCCTTTGAAATGATGTCTGTGATTTCACCAGGGTCCTGACTTTGTGGTGTTCTTCGGTGCAGGTTCAAAAGACTTTGCCAGTAATCCTTTTGAGAGGCATCTGTCACCTGCAGCTCATCCAGTATTTGTCACCAGTCCTCTCTCCTGCAATTCTGAGGGGCATTGCAGGAAATCAAAGCATTCATTGGGCAGCAAAGAAATGGAGGGATAAGGAATATAAAGATTAGAGGATTGAATAAAACTATACACTCCTCCCTCCCTCCTCCAAACATTCAATATTCTTCTCCTTCTCTGTTGGAAGTGTAGTCATCAGCTCTTTAAACTTAATTCTTGTTCTTCCTTTGTCTTGATGAGGCTGGAAAAGAGTAGAGCTAGTTGACATTGCAAGAAGCAGAATGCCAGACACCCAGGCAGGTAAATAAAAATATCCATTCTAAAAGCTGGGACTGGCCCAAGGATGGCTTTCATAATTTTTTGTAAGCACTTTGCTCCACTTTTTGTAAATTTCCCAGCCACATGAAACAATCATTTCAAACTGAGCTGAATAAAGCAAATAGCAACCTGTTTCTCAGGTTTCTCAGCCACTGTCAAGTACTCCATTTATAAAATCTCACTATCATGACAAAAACCTAGTGAGCTCTCATCTCATGCCAGCTGCCACAGCCCTGTTGTGCAACACCCTACTGAAGCTAGACTGCCACTGACCCTGCATTTCTTTCACCATATCCTACCTTTCACCCACTTTCACTTTGCAAATCTGTTCAAGAATTCATATTTATTATTCAAATAAGAGCACAACATAAAAGCAACCATATTGAGTCAGGTCAAAGGTCTATTCTACTAACCTGTCTTTAGCCGACGGTATAACCTTGGGGAAGGGCATGAGTTACAGGACGAACATGCAAACATCCCTTTTACACTTTCTAATGATATGCTGCTTAAGAAATTCTAGAGCTATAGATAATATCTTTTTACTACTTTGTAGCAAATATTTCTTCCGTGAGTTTGAGTAATTGTGTTTGAATCTAGCTAACTTTTGGAATCCACAATATAGTCTGAAAATGAGTTCCACAGTTTAATTAGACTAGAGTAGTAAAAATTATTTTCTTACATTTTGGCAGTTTTTTTACAAGTTGATACTTTGGCATTTTATTTGATCCCTTCTGGTTCTTTTGCTTTAGTTCATTTAGATATGTTTTATAACAACATACTTCAGCTTGCCTGGAAAGGAAAGAAGACAGGGGTGTTCTGCATCTCACAGGATTAAACCTAACAGGAATTTTGTCAATGGGAACAGCGTGCACCCCATGGAGCTGGGAGCTAGCAAAAGCCCCAAAGGGAGAAGAGGGCAGAAACTATAGTTATTAATAATCATCAAGCAAAGCAGTTTTGTAAGAAAACAGGTTATATTCCCTGCCATGCTCACAACAAACATCTGCAGCTCTCTAGCAACAGAACCACTTTACCACGGGAACTTTGCTTTTCATTCTTCCCAGAAATCAAAAAGAGAGAGAGAGAAGAAAAAAAAAAAAATCAGTACTTGAGAAAAGAATGCATGTGCAATAGCCACCATCAAAAGTTTCTTTTCACAAACAGCAAAATGGGTTAGATTCTTTTCCTAATCCATCCAGTCTGAGCTTTTCATTGTTTTTCACTTTGGTATTTCACCTGCTTCTCACTATCACACAAATCTAATGTGCAATACTATTTTGTTTCTAGGCAAAAAAATCAATTTATTCCCATCTGAGTACACTGGCAGATTTTGCAATAGAAATGTTTGACGTTCTTGATGAAATCAACTATCAGTCTTACAATGACTTTGTCCTACGAGTTGGTAAGTCAAATTTCTACAACTATCACCTAAGCAGAATATTGTTGGCTTTCCCTGTGCTGTATGCAAAGGATTACCTGTCCTGCATTCATGATTAAAACTGAAAAGCCTCCTTTAGTGGGAGAGTCACATACACGTGGAAAGTGAGCAGGCTCGATGGTGAGCATCTCCAATTCCAGTGTGTTTACTTAATCTAGGCACCGCTAAAAGAAAACTGCACTGATAATTGTATACAATATTAGTAGCGTACCCAGTCTTGTGGCTTACACTGCTCTGCATAGCTAAACTGCTGAAAACTGGATCTGGCTGTACTTAACTATTAAGTTGCACCTGCAAAAGCTTTGTTGGAATTAAAAGTGTGATGGGAGCTTTCTGTCCACAGATGCCAAATCATCTCCCTAAGTCCTATTTTCTCCAACAAATCAAATCCTCTGGTCTTGACAACACAAACCTTCCCATACAATCCTTTACATGTTATTACATTTCGTACCTCTTGGAGTCCTTTCTCCTAGCCTTCTTGGAGAGCAAGTTCCCCTCTTCCCTTCCTTCCCTGTATCCTGCTCCTCTCCAATGGTACTCCACTGCTGTTCTCATTTCATTGCATATTCTAACACAGATAGTTTTCTCCAGCTTCTCTCTATATTTTCATGGCTGAACTGTGAGAATGGGCTGGACAAGGGGAAAAGTAAAGTCGCTAGCGGTGGAAAATTGAGAAAGACTAAAGACATCAAGGGTAGCAATAGGAGAGTTATACATCTTTGCCCTCCTGTACATCCTAATAATTAGACACCCCAAATTCTCTTTGAAGTCTGTTTATAACTGGTCTTTCCAAGTTCACAAAGGGGCAGAAGACAAATATTTAACCCCTATTCTTCTGCATTACTTGCCTGGGAAAGCTCTTGCATAGAACCTCATGCAGGTTTTTAGCATCTGCAGCTCTTCAGGGCACTCAGAAGAAGGAACTTCCTCTTTTATTTAATTTTCTTTCTTTTTTTTTTTTTTATTTTTTTTATTTCTCTATTTATTTTCAGAGAGGTTATGGAGGCCCCATCCCTGGAAGTGTTTAAGGCCAGGTTGGATGAGGCTTTGGGCAACCTGGTCTAGTGGAGGGTGTCCCGGCCCTTGGCAGGGGGCTTGGAACTAGATGATCTTTGAGGTCCCTTCCAACCCAAACCATTCTATGATTCTATGATTGATTCTATGATTATCTTCCAAACATGGTGTCAAAATCAGTCAGAAATGTAGAATTGAGTCCTGTGGTTTCCCCAAAAAGATGCTTGAGCCATTTTCATACAGTCTTGTATTCTTTCAGTGTCTCCCTGATCTGAGTTGTCTAGTACTGACAACCAATGTGACATGCTTCCCTTACCCCATTCCTCATGTCTTCCAGGCTACTATTTCTATTCCACTTGGAAAACCTCCATTAAAAGGCTTTATATGAGCAACCACAATACCAACAATTAAAGAGCCTTAACTGTTTGTCTTGAATTGTTCTACGGCTGAACTCTGCACAACCACTGTTTTTCTTCTTCTCTTAAACAAAAAAAGAAAATCTACAGATGAGCCAAATATTTATGTTGTCTACATTATTGCATTTCCAATAAGATATCTCTGTGTATGTCTTTATTTTGTTTCTAAACCTCTTACAAATGGAGAAGTCCAGTTGGCATTAATTTAACATATATTATGTCCTATGACCAGAAAAATTCAAAGGCACTTGTATTAAATCTATTTTGAAAGATTCATGTTTCCCTTGGACAATATGCTGTAGTGTTTGAAACCAAACTCATTGTTTTGATTTTAGGTATTAATGTCGGGCCGGTAGTAGCTGGGGTCATTGGAGCAAGAAGACCACAGTATGATATCTGGGGGAACACTGTAAATGTTGCCAGCCGGATGGATAGTACTGGAGTGCAGGGGAAAATTCAGGTGAGTGCATTCAATTTTGCAAACTTTACATACCTCCTGTTTTATATGTGGTTACATTTTCAAGACCACTTAGAAAACACAGCCTCACGTGGTCTTGTGGTTCTTATGAAAAGGGAAACATTCTCCAGATGATTCAAGCATCAGAGGTATAGTTGTTTGCCATTATATATGCTTCATTATTTGGAGGTAACAAAATCCTCAAGTAAATCACTTCCCATCAGAAGAAGAGTTCTCTGCTGCATTGCACACAGTTGGAGGCAAGCCTGGGAATACTGACACTGCATGGGCCAGTCCTTCTGCTGTAGGAATTTTGCCTGAATAAGGACCTCAAGGAAAGGATCTGTGTCCATTTGCATCATGCTGCATTTTATGTAGCTTTAAAAATTCCTTGGATACTTTGGATCAGAGAGGCTACACAGAGAGAGAACATTGTTGTTCTACTAGAGCTTGGCTAGAAGCTATGCTGCACCTCTCAAAATCTCAATGCAGTCCTTCGTCCAAAATACCTGTCTAGTCTCCAGGGATCAAAAGTTCTGGAGTAAATTAACGTCACTGGAACTGATTCAGCTTACAACAGTGGACAATTTGGTTATACATTTCTGTTGGACGACACTTAATCTGGCTGTGTAATTATTCAGCTCAAGACCAGAAGTTCTGCTTCTCAGATTCCAGTTTAGTCAGTGATTTTTAATTCCTTAAGAAAATTCTAAGTGAGCCCAAGAGCAGCAGTAAGTGCTAATTCATTCTGCTTACATATATTTCATAACAGAGAAGTAAAATGGGGAGGAGTGAGCAGTTCTAGGATTAACCTTATATGAACAGGAAAAACTAATAGTTCTTTTTTTTGTGTCTTCAGGTGACAGAAGAAGTTCAGCGGATATTAAAAAGGTGCAGTTATGAATTTGTGTGCAGGGGTAAAGTCAGTGTAAAGGGAAAAGGCGAAATGTTGACCTATTTCCTGGAAGGAAAGGCCGATGGAAATAATTCACAAACACGGTCTTTAAACTTAGAGCGGAAAATGTACCCTTACGGGAGAGCAAACATTCAAACAAAACTGGGCACCAGCTGTCCGTCGGTGTCCTCAGTTGCTAGCTTTACTGTAAAAGCTGGGCTTGGAGCAGGTCAAACGTCTGCCACTCACACAAATCAAACACTGCATTATCTTCCTTCTGTGCCAGCTGTGAAGGAGGCGTAGAGCAAAGGAGATTTGGTTGTGCCATTTGCAGTGAACTTGGAGAGTGATGGTTGCCTGAATTTTTACCAAGAGATCAGAGGTCATAGACCATGGCATTAACCAAGGACCACTACAACCCAACCAAAGAGAACTTGGGGACTGTGTAACGAACTCTTGGGATGGAACATATAAGGGCTAGCAATTCTGTTAGGAAAAGTCAAAACCTGATTTTCTGGAAATAAGGGATATTTTCTTGGCATTTTTAAAGGATAAATGAAAAAAAATGAGAGAAACATGCAAGCAATTATTTATGTGTGTGTGTATATATATGTTTTAATCTATATATGCACATATACAAAGTCCTGTGTAGAGTTAATAAGATTTATAGAGATAAACATAAAAATATGTATTTATTTACACATCCACCTGCAATGACAGCAAAGAGATTTCTCTTTCTGTCATAGCCAGCATTGTTGGGTCTGGGATTAGCAAAGCTGCAGTTAACGGTGGAGTGTGGGGCAGCTGAAGACTCTCCAGGGCTACAGCAAGAGTTAGAGAAACTGCACTCAGTGCGCGAGTTAAAACAATGAGAACAGTGTTCATTGTGCTGTCAATGGCAGATTAATGAAGACTGGATTCAGCTAATTGCTAAACCCTATGTATTTTTTTAAAACTCTCCTTGCATGCTCCAAAAACTTCAAAAAAATTCCAATTCAAATCGTAACACTAGGATATGAAATAGATAAACAACAGAGCTTAAAGGTTTGGCAAAAGAACGTTATATATTCTTTCAAATTTTTTTTTTTTTTAAAGTGTGGTAGTTTAGAAGTTGCTGCCTCTTCACTAGTCATTTGACTCTGTGCAAGACAGAGGAGGCACCTGGCAAGCACAGCAATATGCTTATGCAATATAGAAACATTCCTTTGTGTACAGTGCTGAATTTATTGAAAAGCAGAAGAATGGTATTATTTCAGTCTTTTACAAACAGCACAGTTCCTGTGGCTCAGTTCCAGGATTTAGCTTTACCTTTCTAAACAGTTCAAAGAATAGTCTTGTACTGGTGACAAACATGCTGTTGCTAGCTTTGTGACATTTGTATGTTTGCCAACATAGTCTTAAGTCTTAATTGATTTTTAAATTGATGCCACGGTTTTATTATATCTTGATTCTACCCAGGCTCATTCTTCAAAGCTGTACAATTATAGAAAGCTATAATTCTGAGAAACAAGCACAGTCAAACTTTGCCCAAATGAGGAGCACACTGGTAAACGTGCCAGGAGAGTGAGGCCTGCTCTTAATCTGCATAAAAGGGAACATATTTTGAGTGCTTTTTCCTTTAGTGCAGCCCACATCCTATTGTTCATGGTTTCATCCTGAAACAGTGATTGGGATGTGAAATGTGGAGTGCAGCTCCGTACTCGAGGTGGGGGCAGTTGGAGGTCATCCTGCTGAGTGATATGTGCTCCATGGATAGGTGCTATACTGTCCTGATGGCGATGCACAAGCCAACCAGCCTCACTGCTTTCCAAAAGAGAAGCAAAACTTTACGTTGTCTAAAAACATGCAAAACTTCCTTTTAACTAAAAAAAAACAACACACCTCCCCCCTCAAAAAAACCCCAAACTCAAAAAACCCACCCAACTGCAGAACTTGTCCAGATTGTATTGTAGAAAACTTGCATGGCACATTTCCCTTTGGTGGGCCTATTTTATTACTGATTTCAGTGGAAAGAAGATTCTGAGTGATTCTCCTGCAATCAGCATTTGCTTTGGAGCAGTCACTGTTTGTGTTAGAAGTATATGGACAAATACTTTGTCGACAAATGCAAATGGTTAAGTAAATATTGCAGGACTTTCCATTCTCCATGTAGCCATATCAGGCCACTGTAGGACTCCTGTGGTTTTCAGCAAGGTTTTTATTTAATTTGTATATACACCTTCAGCTAGGTGCTTCATTGCAATGCTAGCAAAATTAGTGTTGTGATTAAAGTGACTATAAAAAACTGAGAATTGCTTCCTAACTGTACTAGGTGTATGCACCCTGTCTGATCTGTGGAAAGTCACTGCATTTCTTTATCTCCCTAACAGCTATCCAGTTCACAGATACTCTTCTAGAGTAATTTAATTCTGGTTTTGAGGCATTCAAAGACATTTAAAGAAATACCTGTAGAGAATAGAGGTTTAAAAGAACAAATGTTTACATAATTAAACTGAATAAGTGGTATCCATGTAAAGCACACTGCATATTTATGTTTTCTAACAGATTTGTAAGAACTAAATTGTCGTACAGATAATTTAAATATTTAACTAAAATGGAAAGCATTATGTGCAATAGCATTAATCACTCGGTTCCACTCACAAAGAGTCCACGTTACACAGTTTTTGAATCAGGGAGTCTGGTATAATGTCACCGATAATAATAAAACATTATTTTTACATGTGCTGTTACTAAAAGCATGTTCAGATCCTGGCAGTAGATCTGGTAGTATGTGAACACATAGACCAAATACAGCCATTGACCCACCCCAAAAGTTTACAAAGAAATTATTTCTTTGTTACTTCTTTAATAGGTCCAGGATAGAGGCATATTGCCATTGTTTCTTTTATCACTCAGTGAGCATAAATGAATCATCCCCTACACTAATATTTTCAGGACTGTTCTCATCCCCAGACTCATTCCCAGAGTAGTGCTGAAGTAATGTCAGTGGAAGATCATGTAACAAGGTAAATTTGGATTACTGATTTTAATATTTTAAAAGATTAGCAGGTGCTAGTAGAATTACTCCAAAGTTTTTCTAACCTGATCCTCCTCTCCAACAGTCAAATGAGACACATGACTTTTGTAAGAATGTTTTCCATGTTGAATGGAAAGGACCAGACAGGCGCAGTCTGTCATCAGCTTCTCAGTCAGCACTTTTGCAGGAGATCTGTGCCTCCAGAGCACATTGAGTGGACCAGGATGGCTTCTTGGTGCTGCAGCCAGTCCGGTGTGCACGCGCTAGCTCCCAGCATCAATGATGGTGTGTTTGGAGTCAGTTTCCAGACTTTGTTTGAGTCCTACCATTAACATTTTTTGTATTTTATTGTTGTTGTTGTTGTTGTTGTTGTTGCTGATTTTACTAAGGGGAAAACTATATTTTTCTTTGTAGTCCTGGACTGAGCAGTACAGAATCATGAAGAAAGTTCAGCCAAGGCACAAATTAGTAAAAAGCCATGTGAAAATAATAGGCAATATTCAGCAGCCATTCCAACAGGGAAAGCTAAATGCCTGTTGAAATGCCTGTTGAATGAAGCTGTGCTCTTCCCTTTATGCTTTCCCTCCCTATTTGTGTAATTTTGCCCCATTTTCTTTTTCTGTATACATTTGTTTTATTTCAGCTCTCGTGTGGTAGCTTTAAATGACAGATTTAATCTCGCTCTTCTTCTGTGTTCTTTGATACTATCAGTAAGTTTTATACATGGAAAGAGTTAGTTGTAGTATTTCCGATAACCCCACAAATGCACATTTTCTACCAAGTTAGAGAAGCTTATCATCAAATTTTTATTGGCAATTAGCTGAAGATAATATGTGGCCCACTCCAATATCCCTGAAAATCATCAGAAGGATTTCCTTGGATTTCTGTGGGATTTGGATCATGTCCACCTTAGTGTATGCAGTTGTATTTCCTGTCTTGCATTTATTAATTTTCTGGTCAAGCTCCGTAACTTTTGCCTGGGTGACCTTGCTGTAGCCACAGCAAGGAGTCAGTTCTGCCCCACAGTATTCAAAAGTTCCTCACATTGTTGCATTGAGGGCAGAATAGTCTCCTGCACTTCTGTTCACCGTTTTGTGCAGCTGTTAGCTTGAAACAATTGACAGATACGAGCCCTACAATGAAGTGATGCCGTTTTGGCATGTTGATGTCTGTCAGTAGCAAGCACAATATATCACATGTGTTTGCACGTTTTCTCTTTCAGATAATAGTAATAATTGAAGTCTTTCATTCTTTATATAAGGAGATGTGTATCAGAGATCTTCAAACTTCACTGTCTTGGGAGCTAATTTCAAAGTGTTCCTATGCTACCTTTATCTTTAAATGATTTTTTAATTATGTTCTCTGCTGAGATTACAAACTGGCATTCAGCTGAATTACTGGCTAGACATTTCCAAACATTTTCCGTTGCCATTGACTGGAGAGCTATTTTATCCAGCCTGTAAAATGCGTTGTTTTTTGTAGCTGCTTCCCACTGTGGCAAGTCACACTCCCTTGTCTTCACTAAAACGGATGCAAATTCTCCCTTACTTTCTCTAGGTAAGACTGAGAGCAAAAAGCTTCAGCTCATTAGGGCCAAATCTGCATCCCTTATGTACCCACAAGGCCTGCAGAAATCACCAGGAGTTTAGCGTGCTTATGAAGGTCAGGAGTTGAGCTTCTGTAGGACAAGTTCTGCTTTGGGTTACAGCAATGTCTCGTGTTGGTACTGAACTGAGTATTTTACAACACTGTAACCGAGAATAGGTCATGCGCCTAAATGTCTTTCGCACTTTTGTCTGTGATTTATCTGTAAGGCAAAAGAAAGTACTTGGGAGTCACTGTTCGAAGGGAAACAGTATATGACCTGTGCCATTTCAGTGCTTTGAGGAGTCTGAACACATTAGTAAGTAGCGTGAATAATTTTCATGTGTTGAATTCCTGCTTGTAGCAGAAACAGTGTTTTCTTTACATCAGCAAGTCCAGATTCTGTATGTGTTCTGCCCAGGCAGAAGGACTATTTAGCCATAATGTTCTTTCAAGTTAGAGTTTTGTATTACAGTGAAAACCAACATTTTTTAATTTGTGATAAACCTGTATTATAATGCCTTATTTATTTTTAATCTTGTACAGTGTTACAAAACAACAGAAAACATTGGCCTTTCATGTATTATTCACTTTAAAAGATGTATTGTATTATGAAATTTTGTAAATAGTTTTAGCTCGGACAGGTAACTGCATGTACACTTGTATAAAAAGAGGCAAAAGGCACACTTTTAAAAAATGTTAATGATTTTTGTAAGAGACATTTTACATGTGCATGGAGATTATAAATCTTTTGGAAATGGACGTCCTTTTGCTTTTCCTTGCAATCTACTGCATGCCACTCATGCCTGACTTCAGTAAAACAAAACAAAACAGTAAGTTTTCCTAAATGTTTTTGGCATATCACTTCTGGCACAGAGTAAAATCCACTAGTTGCATGTGCATTCAGCAAAGCAAAATCAAAATGCAAACAGCAAATAAAGAAGAAAA